CAAAGAACAGGCCTATCCTGAAGGCCAGAGCAGGCTTGTTCCTTATTGGGTTCACCAGTAAACCAAATTCTTAGTAGATGCAAATAAGGGGGGTGGCTCGCTGAGCCCTTTTCTGCAAAGGTATAGGGTACACATGAGAAAAGACCCCCCCCCAAATCTCTAAGTCAGCAGGTAGGTAGTTGTAGGAATCTTACCTTTCTGCTAACCAGGAAGCCAGCTGCCACTGCCAGGCCATGTGTAAAGTTATCAATGGTATTGGCCAGTAGGTTGAGGTACCCACTGATCTGCAGGGAGAAGTCAGAGAAATTGGTAAGTGATAGAACAGAATGAGGTCCATGGCAGAAAGCTCTAAATCCAGCCAAGAGACAGATTAGACACTCTGGGACAGATTAAACATGGTAGCAGCAAGGCACCACTGTTCAGTGGCTTGAACCCTGTATCTGTGCTCCAGTCTAACTGCGTGGTGTCACATTTAGCTTTAAAACAGGAAAGTGACATCAGAAGTGGAAATAGCTCCAGAGACAGAAAAAGAAGGAGGAAGAGAGACTTGCTAAAGAATGAAAATGGAATTAAGAGTGCAGGACTAAATATGATGATAATGCAATCAGAGATTCCAAGCAACAAACGCTAATTTAGAGGTGGCTGCTGGGTTACAGTAAAAACCAAAGCAGGACAGCTCACAAACACCAGCAGACTCTCCTTGTGCCTGAAGAAGGGTGTGTGTGCCTGAAAGCTTGCAAAGAGCATTTTTTCCAACTATTTAGTTGGTCTAATAAAAGATATCACATTTACCCAAAGAACCTTGTCTGTCAATATAAGCCAAGCCTCTTTGCTCATCAAATATACAGTTATATATTAAACTGTCAAATGCCTCCCATGCGAAAGGTGAGAAGCATAGTGTGGCAAATCCAACATGGTTGAAGTTATTTTTCTGTGGCTTAAAAACAAACCCCTGCAGTCCTTTCACACCTCCTCTAAGGGTATGGACAAACAGACACATTACAGTATGTTAAAGGGAACTGAGGATTTACCATACATCAGCTGCTCCATGGTAACAAGTCCATTTGCCTACCCTTACCCCACAGAGTGAAAGCTAAACCACTGATACTTAATCCTGTTTCACCAAGAGCTGAACTGCCCTGGTTTAGCTTTCATTTACCATGGGTTAAGACACGCCTATTGACAGTTACCTCATGTCAGCTGCTCCACAGAAAGACCCAACCCCTTTTAAACTCTTAATTGTTTGTTTGTCCATCCTTTAGAGTTGGCTGGTGCTTATTCACATAACCTGATAAACACATGCAAATGTCTCTCTTTTTTAGTGTTCTCTTTTTTAGTAAGATGCCTGTATCTGTAGTCTTTGTTAAAGTGTTATACAGATGATTAGTGCTACAGAGCAAGGTTCCTAAGGGGCTTCATGAAGTCATCTTTTCATCCACATAATAGAAAACTCTGCTTGAGGCATCACTCATTTTGGCTTAAATAAAGTACAGGAAACCACCTAGAGAGATGGGAAAGCTTTCTTAAAAGTGACCAAGATTCCAGATCTATCAAACCTGTTTCAGAAGGCTCATTTCTTGTGAACTCAGCCTCTCTTGTTTTCATGTACATTATCAGCTGCATAATCCTAAAGGAGTACAGTAGTTTTGGTGAGATGGATATGCAGTCATTGGTATAGCAGGGTCCTGACCTACTAATGGTTTTGAGTGGCCGCACGATCAGTACAGTGTTAGTGGAGGGACCGGAGCACAGACTGTCAATACTGACAGCTAAAATTTAGTACAAGTTAGAGCTGCTGTTTTGCTTCTGCTTTTAGACCAGAGTGAGTTAGCACAAACCAGTTTAGAGGGGGAAGATCACTATGTGGGCCATTGTGACTAGTTTATTGTCCAAGCCAGCAGCTGAAGGAGGTAGGAGGAGTGAGCCATGAGCCTGCTACTCATAGCCTAGCAGCTGATCTCCCATGGCCATTGGGACATCCTTGCAATAGTGTTAGTTTATTTCTACATGTGCAGCCATACAGCTAAGTGTCTGCGAGCAGTGAAGAGGTGGTATCTCACCACCTGTCCAAAGTGGTCTTGTAAATTTAATTTATGGAGAGAGAGAAGACTGTAGAACTCTGCTGGTGAAAACTGAGAGACATGGAGCAGTTTTCCATCACCACTCTGAGCTGGCTGAAGACACTGTCAAGCTAAGCTAACTCAAATTATGTTATGTATACAAGTCAACAGTAAATTGGGGTCAACTGTTGGATGCTGCAGAGGTTGAGTAGCCTGAACACTAAGGTATGATCTGCTCACTTTGCCATAAGGAGGTTGCCTATTAGTGCAGTAAGGCCTGCATTTTTAGAGGGTCTTGATCAGGGAGTCTAGCTGCTACGCATTGAGGCTGTTTGGTGAAGTCCAGCAGTTCCATTGAGTTTCATGATTTTTCTTAGGAATGGGAGGCTGAAATGGTTTTCTTTTTATGTGGGTTGGCAGGCTTACATGCCTCTGAAGGAGGACCCAATCATTCCTGTTAGAAGTAGGTGAAGTTGTTTATTGACTTTCACCAGGCCAGACAGGCACGGATTTATTTCTAGGAGATGGCTTGAGTGTTTCTTCAGTGTTTCTCCAGCTTTACCATGTCTGGAACAGCAAGTGGCTTCTGTTACCTGTTCTCATAGTGGTGTTTTTTACCCCAGAATATTCATCTCTTAAAGTGCAAACTCCTAATTAGAGGCATTATCTACTGCCCCAAAGTAACATCTTTGTGATTTTCAAATGATTTTCAAACATCAAGTATACTTACAACTAAGTATGAAAACAAAGGGTAGGAAATGAACAGGACAAGTTTAAAAGTTAATTATAGGAGAAGTTTAAAAGATAACCTGTTCTAAGGGATTAGTAGAAGTGGAGCAAGTTAAAGGGATTTTGCTGAAACTTTCCAATAAAATTGTGTTTGGATGAAACATAAATCTTAGCGTAAGAGAAATGCTTTGAAAAGTTATGAACAGGTGAAATCAGGGTTAACATAGAGAATGTTTTTGCCATCTCACTTCACACAAGTACTAATGTAAAAATTAAAATAATTACTGGATAAAAATAGAATCAACCCTAACTATATGCAAAAAAGAAAAAAAACACAACATGAAATTTAGGGGGGAAATGCAGACATAAAAAGGAAAAAAAAACAGAACAATCTCTTTGTGGGTATTTCTTTAAGAATGGGAGCAGCAACATCCCTAGATTTCATTGCAAATTGCTTTCTGTTTTCATTCTTACCCGCTGTTTCCAGTCACATGTAGCTAACTGAAATTTTTCTTCACACTGAGATTTTCCAGGATTGGGCTTTGCTCAAAGGATGGTAACAATCATTTATTTAAGTTTAAACAAAAATGCTTCAGCCTACTCAGAGTGCAAGTAGAGAAAACACACACTTCATGATTAAAATGCCATAACCTTTTCTGTCCGTGGCTTGGGTGAAAGCTCTCATAGACAAAAAGCAAAACCTTGGAGCCTCGTAGAAAACTTGGTTTTGATTTGACAGTTATAAACCTGTGCCACTTACATTCTGAGAACAAACAATATGCTCGTGAACTGCACAGCTAGGGAGAGAATTTCTGCTCACAATGCAGGACAAATGTAGCTATGCAATGGAACCTACTGCTGCAAGTCAGTAGGAAACCCTGAGCCGGGGGAGAAACAGAAAAGCTCTGATGTTTCTGTAATGAACAAAGATACTGTGAAAAAAGTCACAAGCCCTTATGGATCCCCTATTATTTCATTTAGGTGCAAAAGACGCATCTATATGACTTCTAAGGAGGGTGAGATTATTTTTTTTGGCAGCAGCTAGAGTGAAAAATTCATAGGGCCAGAAAAGCAAACAAGAGGGAGCATGAACATCAGCCAGTGAGGAAGGCACTGCCCTGAGAGGGGGGGATTCCTGGGTTTTATTCCCTGCTGCCAAGACCATTCATACGTTTTGCATGAAACAGTCATTCGTGAAAACAAAGAAATTTCCTTGGCAGCAAGGACTGCAAACCTAGACTCTCCTCTTTTAGGGCACTGCCATAACTACCAGGCTACAGTTACACTCTCTCCTGGGTTGCTCTCCTTCTGGCCCCATGGAACTTGCACTCTTGACTACCTAATGGTCTAACTTAAACAGAAAGGTGTCCTCACCCAGCCTAGTGCATAGCCTGGGGGTTATGTCACAGTCCTAGGAGAAGGAAAATGTGAGTTTGTGTTCCTTCAGAATGATGAGGGTCTAGAGATCAGTATGCCCCGCTCACTGGGCAAATGGTCTAATCATCAGGCTACTGGACAAAAGGTAGGCACAGCCACCAGCTATATTTTATAATGAGCTGAGTGGAGGCTGACAGCAAATGTCACTAAGTGTGTGCTATGTCCTTGCCTTAAGAATCAGGAATTTAGGCAGACTATAGGCATTTCCCATATCACTTTGGATTTCAAGAGGGATTAAGTAGGAGTTAGCCATGTAGGTAGCAAATCTTGAAGGCTTCTGACCTTGTGCAGTAATGCAAGTCTGGGTCAGATGCGCAAGCCTAGGTGTGGTTTTGCATATGCAGAAAGGGTGGGGCTCGGGTTATGAAGACATAACGGTACTTCCTGACTTTCAAAAGCATCATTTTTGGGGACTTTGATGTAGTTTCACATATAACATTTTAGAGGGAAAAGGTGTCCAATCTGCTCCAGGTGCTTGGAGGTTTCAGATTTGAATAAACTACTCTGCAAATCACCCATAAAAAGAACACTTAAAAAAAAGTAAGTGGCTTTTTCCACAATCCACTAGACCAGGTGGTTTAACTACCAAGAAATGTAGCAGCCTCCACAGCCTGACTGAATTTCAAGCCCCTCCCCTTTTAAAACAAAGGCAGTTTCACTTGGGAGCACATGGAGGACACTGTGTACCCTTTTTGCTGCAGTATGGGCTTTGCCAGCTGGCCATTTACCTTGATTTTTCTGTCAGGTGGGTGAGACTGATGAGAGGAACCATTACACTGAGTCACACCTGTTCCTGTTCTTTGGACTGTGCTTGTTGCCTTCTGCGGAGAGAAGCTGCTTCCATTTGGAACCCTTTTGGCTGGTGCTCTGGAATCACTGTCCTGAGTCAGGAGAGAAGCAACTGTTACGCTACTTCCCTCTTACCCCACAGACCAAGCATGCAGATAGGACAGAAGAAATTTCCTTTTACTCTTAATCCTTCCACCCCAAGGCATAATCCCAATACCCTTCAGTACCAAGGCCTGCTGATCACAACCTTGAGACATGAAAAAAATATCAGGGCAGTTTTATGCAAAATTACTGAATTTGGATTAATGTACTGAAAATCTGAGCACACTGGACAAACCCATGTGAACCAGAGGTACTCAACCTACAGCCCATGGAACTGTGTCATCCAGCTGGCAGGGCCCTCCACAGGTCTGGAAATTTGGCAGCAGGTGAGCAGTGGCATGATTAATTACCACAGCAGAGCACAGCACCATGGCAATTAAAGCTGCCACTACTACCATGCCACTAAACTTCTGGACCTAAGCAGTCCCACAGGCTGGATAACATCCCCCACATGCTGGATTGTGCTGATGCATAGGGTTGGTTCAGTTATTCAGTATATGAGTGAATAAAAATTCTGACAAAAATTGACGTGCCCTTGTGGAAGTGAGATGATAATCTAAATGACAATTTTATTGTGTAATATCAGCAGCCAGCTAGGGTTCAGCCTATAAATATTCCAAGGCCAGTTCAAATGCTTCGGAAGCAGCAAAGTTTGCTGAAGTGCACTGAACCAGGAATCAAAAGTTGCATTTATTTTTCAATGTTAAAAACAGAAGTATGCAGGAGATGGACTACAGCATGTGTAGAAACAATGACCAATTGCCCCTTTGTTACTGGGCAACTCCTGTCTGATCTACTACATTGTATCAACTGGCCAATTAAAAGATCTTTCTGGTATGTGATCTGCCAATCATATAGGCCAAAAGAATATCCTCCCAAACACAGGGAAGCAGAAAGAAATTCCACTCAAAAAGAAGGGAAGAGCCCACCCTTAGGCCATGGGCTCAGCAAGAAGGCATGAATAGGTATTCATGAAATAGAGCTCTAAAACTTGGCAGAGCAGAAACCCAGCTGGACCTGAAAGAGAAAGGGGGCCTAGCAGTCAGGAGCCTAACTACTGGAAGCAGAAAACTATGCTAAAATGAGGAACTCTATCACCCTGGAGTGAACACACCAAACCTCAAACAAAGGAGGAGTCCTTTCCTATCCTACATCTTCCAGAGCTAATGACTTCTCCCCACTTTGTCATACACTCACTGTGCCGAGCCGATCTTGCTCATCGTTCTCTGAAAATATCTTCTCCAGCACCAGGAAGGTCAGAAAGCCAATGATCACCCAGAGACCTAAAAGCTTCTGCTGATGGAAGCTCTGTCCTTCTCCTAGAAAACAAAGAAAACCCCTCAGGGCACCTCAAGGTGGCTAACAGGGAATGCCCCTGCAGCTCAGTTTGTGACCAAGAAGCCTGAGACAAGAACATGGGGCAAGGACATTTCCTTTGGCCCTATGAGAAGCACAGAACAGTGCCTCAGTGCTCATCCCCAACTCAAGAATGCCCTCTACAGCCACAGTCCTCAGTATCCCAAAACTCAGCAGTGGTGTCCTGCCCATCTCCCATCATGCTATGGAATTTTCCCTTGTGTCCAGCTCCACAGCAAGCTGTGTGAAGCTGAGCAAAAGTGGAGTCTCCCACCAGAGGTTGCAGGGATGTCTGTGTCAGCACAGATCCTACAGATAAGTCTGACTGAGCAGCAAGCCCAAACAGGAAAGTTTGTGCCTCAGGAAGCTGAACCAAAGACTTGTCTTCAACATCCTGCCACACCCGAGCAAATTATTAACTATAAAATGTTCCTTCTAATTAGGGATGAACCTCTCCTATTATTCTCCAATCAGCCTGGCTGGAGGGGCAAAGACTGTGGTACGCCAGAAGCATAGATGTGTGGAGTATGCAAACCCAGAAGCTTAAAACCTAGGGACACGACTAAAAGTAGAATGAACATGCTTAGGCAGAAAGGTGCAGTCACAGGGGCCAGAGCGCTGGTACACAGCTCTATCAGCTCCACCAGGGCAGTGAGAAAGGGAAAGAAACAGTTAATCAGCAGAGCTTTGCAGACAATATTTTTTAATTCCTACTGCTTAGGTGGGAACAGATTCTGGGAAGTTCAGGTCATCTTTGTGTTCCCTACATTCTCATCAGGGAAAGGATTCCTGGATTCCCATCAGGATTGGACACAGATAAACATAATCTCAATCCTGGGACAGGAAATGCTGAGACCTGAGCTCCTTGCAGAACTGTTTCAAATGAGTCAGAAGGTGTTCCTTTCTTACTGAGCAGCTATTTATAAGGTCCAGTCAGCAGTCGGCCTCCCATGACCCTTGTTTACCCAAGTGCAAAGACATAATCACCATACATTTCCATGGGCTCTTTAGGAAACTGTTACTGGAAATGGTGAAGGCTGTATCAGTTGTTTCTCAAGCTCTAGCTCAGGTCAGGCCAGATCCACCCCATCTGGAGCAGCTGGTGTACTGGGGGTTCAGGTAGCTGCACCTTCTGCTTCCCTTCCCACTGCTCACACACTCTAAAGAAAGTCAGTCCCCAACTAGCCCTTAAGCAAAGATCTGAGTACTGTTAGGCCAAGGAATGTAGCACAGAAGTGAGTTCCAAAGTCAAGAGCCTTTGCTGAAGGGACCCCCAAGAGCAGAAGCAGGGAAAAAGGCCAAAGTCCCCTGGCATCCTCTGGGGACCTCTTTGGAAAAATGATTCACACAAACCCCAGGGCAGTCAGTGCCCAGGACAGGCTCTAGGCCATCAGGCACTTGTGCAACCCCAGTGTTACCTGCTGTGGCACTGCAGGTATAGGCCCAGGCCTCTGGGAGCATATGCAGGAACACGTTTCCCAGCAGTCCACCAATTGCAAAACTTAAGAGCTGCTTCAAGCGACAGGATCCCGCTGGAAGACAAACAGAAAAAGCCACTCAGAGCCCAGCCTGATGATCAAACATGGTCTGCCAGGTCCCAAGGGGAAAAAATAGTGAGGATGTGTGGAAACAAACTTGTCTCCAGTATCCAGACTGGATACATAAGCTCTCCACCAGAAGACTAAGAACCCAAATTATAGGAATTGGTCTTTTAACAGGAATGGATTTGCCTGCATTTAAGCAGGCAGCATGTCTAGGGCACAAAGAAGATCCCAATTCCTGTGTTAGACATAAGAACACCACACCCACTGGTCAGCGTGGCTGTCAACAGGCGTTTGGAGGGGGTGGGGGTGGAAACTAAAACAAAACAGCACTTTACCAGAAGAAGCAGCGCAGTGCTTTCACCCAGCTCCCCAGCATCTGTATAGATCAGGCACTTCAGCAGGGCCTTTTGGCACGTTTGTCTAAAACGGATTCAATTAGCTATTAGATAGAAGTGCCAAAAAGCCCCGCTGAAGCACATGATCTATACAGATGTTGGACAAGCTGAGTCAAACTAACACGATACCTCATTTGGGAATGCACTGTGCTCGGTGAGGGGGTGCGCTGAGCTGAAAGGAAAGCACTGTTTTGTTTTGTTTTTTATGTCTGTAAGCAGCCTGCCTTAACATTTGGGGTGGGAGGCATCACAGAGGAGGTTTACCTTCTGATCGCAGAGTGGCTCCTGTCTCAAGGGGAATTACCAGCAAGGGGAGAACCCCACTCAGCCCCACCATGACCGAGCCAATCAGAGAACAGATCCAGGCATCCAGTCGCTCTCCACTGAACAGGTTTCCCCAGGACTCAACCTCCTTCTCACACAGTGGATTGGCACTGGAGACAGCATGGCTCCCTGTGGGCTGATGGGCTTCACAGGCCATGCTGAGCAGAAACAAGGCATGGATCCCATGAGGCAGAAGCCGATTCCCTGTCATCGTGGAGCTGTCTCAATCTCTACAAGGGAAAAGGAACAGTCGAGTTCTAAGACATGATGCAAGAGTCCACTCCAAGTCCTCCCACCCTTCAACCTGTTTATTTTCCTGGGTAACTTTGGTTCCACAATTATTCCCCTTAACACAAAGGTCCCACATTTTTCCTTATTTTCTGTCTCCTTTCAGTTTGCTGGCTTGATCATGACACCAGAGGACTGGGAAACCCTTTACCTGCCCATTTGCTCCTGGGTGTGCTCTCCCTGGGTAAAAAAGCTTAACTCCCTGCCTTGTTCCTCAGCATCCAGATCCACAAAGCCTAGGATGCTCACAGCCAATTCACAGACAACAATTTGCACTGCTGGCTGATTTCAAGAAGGGCTTTGTGTATAAATGCTATCAAGACAAAATATTACAAAGGGAATTAAGTAATGCCATGCTGGAGCAGAGGCCCCACCTATACTTTACTTGACATCAAATGGGACTAGAAAACCAACTCCCCAGTGGAGATCTGCTGCTGCACAACTGCCAGATTACTGGAAAAAGTGGTGCCAGAACAGCATGCTTGCGCAAAGGGTGTCCATTGCTCGAACTACAGGGAGGCACTATATTTTGATATCAAAATTTGGGGTGAGGTGGGCACGCTAGTAGGAAGGGAAAGACTGCAGCAAGACCTGGATAGGTTGCAGGGGTGGGCTAACAAAAACAGGATGCATTTCAGTACTGACAAGTGCAGGGTGCTGCACTTGGGCAGTAGTAACCAGCAGCACACTTATAAGATGGGGAAACTCCCTTCTTGAGAGCATGGAGGCAGAAAGGGATCTTGGAGTCATTATTGACTCCAAGATGAACATGGGCCAACAACGTGAGGTCACGGTCGGCAGGGCCAACTGGACCCTATCATGCATCCACAGGTGCATCTCAAGTAGGGCCAAGGAGGTGATCCTCCCCCTCTACGCAACACTGGTCAGGCCACAGCTGGAGTACTGTGTCCAGTTCTGGGCACCCCACTTCAAGAGGGATGTGGACAACATTGAGAGGGTCCAGAGGAGGGCCACCTGCATGATCCAGGGACAGCAGGGCAGACCCTACAATGAGAGGCTGCGGGACCTAAACCTGTTCAGCCTTCACAAGAGAAGGCTGAGGGGGGACCTGGTGACCGTCTATAAACTCACTAGGGGGGACCAGAAGGGTTTGGGGGAGACCTTGTTTCCCCTAGCGCCCCCAGGGATAACAAGGAATAACGGCCACAAGTTGTTGGAGGGTAGGTTTTGATTAGACATCTGTAAGAACTACTTCACAGTTAGGGCGGCTAGGATCTGGAACCGACTTCCAAGGGAAGTGGTGCTGGCTCCTACCCTGGTGGTCTTTAAGAAGAGGCTCGATGCCTACCTGGCTGGGGTCACTTGAGCCCAGTTTCTCTCCTGCCCAGGCAGGGGGTCGGACTTGAAGATCTACAAGGTCCCTTCCGACCCTACTTCTATGATTCTATGACTGGGGCAGGTTTCACTCAGATTGGGCAGCTGAAGCATTTTTCTTAAAACCATCTGCTATTCACCTTTAACAGGAGCACTTCAAGTAAGTTTGGGAAACAACAGTTGCAATAGCCTGTTGGATCACTACACTGCACCAGGCACCCTCTTCTCCATGCACTGGATGCAAACTCCTCATAAAAGGTGCAAACTGTTGCCATAACTCTTACCCCCTATTTTTGATCCCTCTGTTGAGGCACAAATGATCTCCCTACTGCAATCCTTGAGACAAGGGATCATAATAATTCTTGGGAGATGTGTTTCTGAACTGTCTCATAACTACTATGGATAGCCCTGGTTCCCAAAGACAGGAATCAAGTTAGAGAATATCAATATATAAGAGGCACAAAAGACAGACCTCTGCTGTGCGATGGGGGAAAAATCCAGTCAGGGCAAACACTATGGGCAGAGCTTTATGCTGCACAACTGCCTTCAGCACAAAGTTATTACAGTACACACATCTAAAACCACAAGCTACTGTCACTACCAGCATTCCCTGCAAGGCTCACTACAAACATGCCAGTCTAGACTAGCAAACCCTGAACTTGCAGTGACAGGATGTACACATTTGCTCTGAATTTCTGGAAGAGGAGAGGCAGGTTGGCTGAATGACTCTGGGTAAAGATAAGAGGGAAAAAAACAAATGATAAAATGGAAGTGATTTATGACAGACTATCTATTCAGGAGGTGGTGGTGCAGGTGGCTTTTAGTGAGCAAATGTTGGAGGCATCCAAAGGACAGGACCTGAGGGTAACTGAGGACTCTGCACAGATACTGGTTGGAAAAAAAACAGTACTACAAGACAGACAATCCATCAAGTTCCTGGAATGTACTGGGGATAACTTCTTGTTCAGAAGGTGGAAAAAGCTACGGTGAAGTAGCTATTTTAGATTTAGTTCTGACTAATAAGGAAGAATTAATTTAGAATTTGAAGGCAGAAAGAAATATGGGTAAAAGTGATAAAGAAATGATAGAGCCCATTATTTTAATGAAAGAAAGGTGTGAGAGTAGCAGAATAAGGTTTCACAAAAGCAAACTTCAACAAATTCAGGGAACTGCAGAGGTCGTTTCTTAGGAAGGCAGTCTGAGGAGTGCAGGAGACTTGGCACTTACTGAAACTATTACATGCAAAGGGGCAAACTATCCTAATACAAAAGGAAAAACAGAAGCAGAGTGACAAACCAGATGGACCTCTTTATTGTACCAAGGACAGATTTTCAGAGCTCTTCCAGGACCTGAAAATCAACCAGATAATATAAAAAATTGGAAACAAATATGATTAGGATGAGTATAAAAGCACAACAAGCACATAGGGATCCATGTAAGCTAAGACACAAAGTGAGTTTCATTTGACAAGAGACACAAGAAGCAACAAGAGAAGGTTCTATAAACATATTAGAAATAAGAGGAAAACCAGAGAAGGCACATATATGCTTGTTACCATGCAAAAAAAAGAGAGTAGATAACCGACAATGCAGAAACTACTAGAGGGTTCCGTGACTTTTTGCTTCAGTTTTCATAAAATTTAACAGTGACCAGATATTTAGAGAGATTAATTTTAATGAGATAGGAGAACAGGGGAAGAATAGGCTAAAGTACACTTAGATGAGAGAGACCTATTTCTAGGAGGTGGTGCCTAGTGACATTCATTCTAGACTACTGAAGGAACAGGCAAAGTAAACTCTGAACTACTGGTGACCACGCTCAAGAATTTGTGGGGCGAAGATAAGGTCCCAGAGGATCAGAGAAAGGCAAGCATAGCACCTACTTTTCAACAAGGAAAAAAGAAGCTAAACTTATTCTCTCCCCTATGCCCACACAAAGCCCTTTATTCTGGGATCTTATTGTACTTGTGAAGTACCAAGATAACATTTTTGCCTTGGGACAACTGGGACTAATTTGAGTTAACTGCCATTCAAGCTGCATGTAAACAACTGTCCCTTGGCCTATTTTGGGACCATCAGCCCTAAGGCAAACCAGTTGTCCCTTTTCAGTCGGAAGGATCCAGTGCCAACACCCAGAAGGATTCTGGAGCAACTCATTGTTATCTAAATCAATTTCTAAATATTTAGAAAATAATAAAACAACAGCCAACATGGATGTGTGAAGAGCACATTGCATCAAACCAATCTGCCATATTTACCTGAATTTAAGACCACTTCCCAATAATTATACATAGAAGACTTATACATTTGCTATAATTTTCCATATACGGAATATAATTATTGGAGAACTGTCTTAAATTCATCCCCACCCCCACTGCAGTAGGGAAA